ATTTAATAACCTAAGCATAATAGATTTCTAAATTCAAAAAAAAAAATACTAATTATTAAAGGTTATTACTATATTATTTCTTAAATGCATTAAAGAACCCTTTTGCCTGTCCTTTAAGAACTAATACCTCCTCATTAATACTAATATCACTTGAAGCCAAATGATAAACAATATGCGAAGGTTCAACGTGAGAAAAAATATAAAATTGATGATCACGGATTGTTGAAAAAATTGCACCATTAATGTGAAAGAAAATTTTCAAAGATACATAAGAAAGAGATTCAAAATCTGAAACAGGAGTATCAATATATGAATGAAATGAATTATTTCGTTCATACATAGCAATAATTTGAGCAACACAAGGCGTGTTATCAAATTTAGCTATTACAAAAGATCCAATTCGCAATGGGAAAAGAGCTATGTTATTGCATAAATGGCACTCTGAAAAATAAAAATTCTAATTAAAAATAGATAAAATTAATTTTTAAATACATTAATAAAAATAAAATTACCTGAACGATTTTTCTCAATTAGATTATTGCTAGTTTTTTCACCAGATTTCCATCTATTTTCTCGTGATTTAGTTAAGATAAAATCATTTTTTGTCAGATGTGACACTAAACTGCTCGCCTTATTAATATTAAGCCTACTTAAAACATTCCTTTTATTATCGTCTTTAGAAGAAAATTTAATTCGTACAAGGTTTTTTTCTGAGTGTGCATCATGATGTCGACGTAACTCTAATAAAAATTCAATATTCAACAAATCATTATCCAAAATAATCTCAGATCTAGAATCTATAAAGATAAAATTCTAAATTATTTATATACAATAAAAATTAATATTAAGAAATTAATTATTCACCATTTGGAAACCATGGAATTTCAGGTAACTTTTGAATCCGTTCAATAATTATTTGACACGTCTCATAAATTCTTTCTAAAGGAAGTTCAAGCCTTGAACTTGAATTAAATTCTTGGTTCCTATTTATCTCAGATATCGCATTGCTTATGCAATGAGAAATAGGTAAACTACAGTCCATGTTATATTCATCATTATTAACAGTTTCAAGACTTAAATCTTCATTCCAAAAATCTTCAAGTTGTGAATTAGGAAATTTCTTGTGGATATTAAAATAATAGGCATCATTGGGTATAGAGTTCATTTCTAAATGTCTCACTAAGTGGATGGCCCTTTTATAACCAATATTAATAGCGTCATCAATCTCAATATCAGATGGCCAATAGCGCAAACGTTCAAGATCATCGTCCAAAAGGTTAAATTCTTCATATTCATTAAAGTCGTAACCTAAAATAAGTTGAATAAGTTTCAAATAAAATAAGTAATAATAATGATATATGCGAATATATAGGTATTTTCTTTGTACAATAACCTTAACATTATGAAATATGAGTGCTGCCAAAGGAAAATGGAACTTCGGTTTATCATTGATTATTTATTTAATCGATGATAAACAGAAGTTCCATTTCCCTTGATAGCGCTCATATGGTATTACTATACATCATAAGGTTATTCTCAAGGTAAAGACTCGTATGATTAAACTTATGTTTACCTTCACATACTTTTTTTTCTTTTCTAAATAGTAAATTATCTGATTGAATAGATTTAAAATATTGACTAATTTTTGGAACCATTTGCAGAATTTCTAAATAAGTAAAATCAGGACGAAATTGACGAGCAATTCCAAAGATATGCTCACAAGATTCAGTGCCATGTTTCCATGGTAGTAAAGGTATATTCTCATAATAATCTCTATGAATCTTAATTAAAAGAACTAAAGATTCGACTAAACTAATCATAATATTAAAAGTTTGCATTGC